AATTATCTATTTCAGTAAATGTTGATGATTGCGTTGTTCCTTAATCTTTGAATTAGATCCAGCTTATTATTTTTTGCAAACTGTAAGAGCAATTTTATAAAAGTAAGCTTGAACAAATTATGTCAAATAGAATTTCCAATGCTGGAGCTCCCAAAGGATCTACAAAACGAAAGTATGTTTTGATATCTATCAAATAAAAAGTGGAATTGCTATAAAAAATGGATAAAGGCATATCCTTTGTTTATCTAACCGTTCCGAAATCTGTTTATCAATTTCGCACTGCTCTACGCGGGGGGGGGGGGGGGGGGGGGGACGTCGTGGCGCGCAATGAACTGGAAGTTGATCTGTCAGCACTATCGCTATCTTCAGGGCAGATATTTTTATTTTATTCGACTTATAATTCCTTACTAAATGTTGTATTTCACCTCGATGTACTCCGTCTTTGATATGATTTAAATCAAAGTCCTTGTCATTATAAATATCATGAATACAAATCAAATAGTTTTCTGGTTGCAATTTTCTAATTTCAGCTATGCGTAATGTATGCTTTACGCATGCGTGCGTTGAAAGATATGTTTAATAAAGTAAACAAATAAATATTAAGCTTCTTTTTTTGTAAATTTTGATACCCATTAGATCATAATTGCTCATTATTTTATAAATTACGGTTTCATATTTTTAATTTTATAATTTCTGCATGCCATCTTACCAGATTTAAACGGATGATCTATAATCCGGAATCGCCGAAGTCCCGACGAGTCCGGATTAAAGACTTTTGGCTGTATTAGTACAGAAAAATATAGATATTTTGAATAAGATAAATTACAAATAAGTCTGCCTCTATTAAGTTGGCACAGCAGATATGCAGGATGTTTAGTTGGCAGTCTGAGAACACACCCGTGACTGTGCTGCTCTTCTCCTTTTTTCTGCATGCATTCTTTTCCTGAAAATATTTCTGATAGTCCAAACAGCTGTTTTATATATACAGTCAAAAGCCTTTAGTCCAGCCTCGTCGGGACTTCGGCGATTCCGGATTATCGATTTTTTCGGATCATCAGTTTAAATCTGGTAAGATGGCATGCAGAAATTATAAAATTAAAAATATGAAACCGTAATTTATGAAATACAGAAAAATTATGATCTAAAGGGTAGCAAAATTTATAAAAAAAGAAAGCTTAATATTTATTTGTTTACTTTATTAAACATATCTTTCAATGTAAGTTGTTTAAGTTGCTTCGTTTTATGTGATAATACTTTCTCTTTAATTCTATAAACAGACATAATTTCTTGTTCAATTACAAAGTTCCACTGTTCAAGTCCTATAATTGCTGTGTCGAGAATACCAACTAATTTGTCAATCAAAATTTTTTCGTTTTCAATAACCTCTGTGTTCTTCGTTTTCAATAACCGTAATTTCTTCACTATCGGAAGCAAATTTTAATGATGAGGAATTTGATTTAAATCATATCAAAAACGGGAGTACATTGAGATGAAATACTACATTTAGTAAGGAATTATAAGCCAAATAAAATAAAAACATCTGCCCTGAAGATAAGGATAGTGCTGACAGATCAACTGACAATTCATTGCGCACCACGACATCCCCCTCCTCCCCCGCAGAGCAGCGTGAAATTGATAAACAGATTTCGGAATGGTTAGAGAAGCAAAGGAAATGCCTTTATCCATTTTTTGCAGCAATTCCACTTTTTGTTTGATGGACATCGAAACATACTTTCGCTTTGTAGATCCTTCAGCAGCTCCAGCATTGGAAATTCTCTTTGACATAATCGAAAGTTCAAGCTTACGTTTATAAAATTGCTGTAACAGTCTGCAAAAAATAATAAGCCGGATCCAATTCGAAAATTAAGGAACAGCACAATCTGCAACATTAACTGAAATAGATAATTAGATAATTTTAGCTTAGCTTATACCGTCCATTATACATTAAACGCACATGCGTAAACGTATTATGCGCATGCATAAAATTATTACGCACGTGCGTGAATGCATTATGTGTTGACACATGCGCAGAAAGTTTGTAGCTTTGAGGACCGGATTATAGATCATTCCAGATTATGGGTGTCCGGATTAAAGACTTTTGACTGTATATATTTTTAGTCCAAAGGGGCTTTGTCCCTGAGGAACTATTGTTTTCGTTTTGCGATTTTGTGTCGAATCTCCCTGAATGTCAATTTCACTTTTCAAACCGTTGCCACCAAATATTATCACCTTTTATTATATTTGAAGAAATTAAATAATGAAGAATATGCATAAATGTATGTATGTTTTATGTATGTTTCTTACATTGTGATAAAACAACAGTATATAAAGCCATCAAATTTTGAATGACACAATTCTACTGTGAATATGGGCCTTTGGAAGCCCAAATTTGAAATTTGCTTTATTATCGATTTCATATTTTGTAAAACTTTAACGAATTTTAATTAACAAACTCAAGGATTTCAAAGCGAGCAATGGCAACATTTTACAGAAAAAGCATTTTATCTCCAACACGCGAGACTGCGTATGGGAAATTCTAAACATATGCTGAATTTAAAATTATTTTGCGATATTGTTCTTGAACTTAATTTTATGTTTTAAGTGCGAAGAACATGATATTTAATAAATAAAGGTAACACATAAAATGTTAAAAAAACGCCCGTTTGGACTTAATTTAGAATCTGAAACCTTTCAGTTTTTTTTTTTTTTTTTTTTTTTTTGATACAGTGGCAGTTAGAAAACTAAGCTATTGATGTAAAAAAAAGAATAAAAACTTATATCAATAGCTAAACTTGAGATCGGCTCATTTTATTTCTTTTAACAATAATTTCAAAGTGTACACTAAAATAATGCCCTTTTAAAAGTGTCATTCTGACAACTTTTATGGATTATTTTCATGTTTACTTGGATATTATACTTATGGTGACATGAATATAATAATAATAATGCCAACTGATAAATTGAACAAAGCACTTTTAAACTGGTTGAAGCTCGAGTTGGCCTCTGACTGGGATGTTAGGCATATGGAGTTAAAATGTCAGAAGATAATAGAGCTATAACAGTGATATGAGGACTGATAAATAGACCATATGTAGCTTGGAACTTATTAAAAGATAACAGTACATTCTGTTCTGTTTTGCAGAAGACTTGAGCACACGAGTCACTAATGAACAATCAGGGTGAGGCAAAACTGTAACTGCATTGAATATACAAATTTAAATTGCAGCTGGGCAAAAGCTAAACATATGGCCAGTTGATAAACAGACAATCAAATTAGAAATATAGATATTAATGCTGAATTATATACAGAGTTAAATATAGTCAACAGCTTTGCGTATAGGGGGTAGCGTGCGTGTGCCACTGTACTTCTATTGTTGCAGGAAACTTACGTTGTCGACATGTATAAGGCAGGCTGCATATGCTTTGACACGGCTGAGAAGGCAGTAGCACAATATGTAATGATTGAAGCAATTTTATTTTGTGCAGATCTGGTGCTGCTAATATTAGCAGCCCACACTGACAAGTTTGTGGAAGCTTGTGGGTTTTTTTTAACGTGGTATCCTGAAGTCTGCGAGTCACTTTTATACTGAGTCATTAATTTGAACATAATAACAATAAATAACTATTTTTTACTGTCATAGCATAGAAATCTCGATTAAAACCATTTTGCAAGGTAAAATACATTCAAAGTTTTATTCACTTTTTAGAACATCAACAATTAAGTTTCATATTCAAGTGATGTTGTTATCCCCCAGTTGTAGGAATAACATATTAACCTGAATATAAGACAGCTTAATGCCTAACACAATTCTTTTAAAAACTTAAAGATACATGCTTCATATACATAAACAATGCATAGGGTCTATAAATTTTAAAAAGAAAAAAAAAAATTAAATAGCTGATGCATAATCAAATAAAATGTTTTTGCTTAGTATATAAGATTCGAGAAAATGTAAAACTAATGTAACATATTTTTAAAATGTTTGACTATGTATATAAAATAGGGGCTAATCTTTGGAATATGGTAACAGGTAGTTTGGCGACATTTTTGCAAGGTGATAAAGGTTACTAGCTAGGACTTTAGCAGTGTACATGGATAAAGTCAAGAATGTGCGCAATGCCATTCTTGTGCAATTCTGGGATGGTTTTTTAAGTGAAAATAGGTCAACGTGTACATGGATGATACCGTGTATGTGCAATTCTTAAAAACGCGGCAAGCAGTGGGCGATTCTGCACTTTCTCCCAATTTCCACCTAATCTTCGTCATGATTAAGCACTTTTGTTCCATAAAAGTTCTAGCATAAGCGATTACGCTTATGCTAGAACTTTTGCAGCTAGCAGATTATTGCTCGGCTAGCAGATTATTGAAAAAAAAATGTTGAGTAAAAAAAATGCCTTTATTTCATGAAAACAAAATGGTGTCCAAAAAAAAAAAAGTAGCAGGTTCCTGTAGCAGGGGTGGTCGCCAAATTTTCGCCAAAAAATCGCGAAGTTACCATAATCCAAAGATTAACCAAAATAGGTTAAGATTTTCAAAAATGCATTTTAATGGGAAAGGAATCATTCCTGCATTCATGTTAATACATGTGTACAAGAAATCACACACTACTATATTAAAATAAATATATTGATATTTTTAACATAAAAAATAGTTCAGTTTCAAAAGTTAATGGTTGAATAGGGAAGACTTCGTGCATTTGTTTTACATGTATTCATAAACTAAATCTTAGTCCATATCTACAGTATACTTTCAATACTTGTGATAACAATTTTCTTAATTTGATAACATCTAATGCTAAAAGGGAAGTTGTACACTTCTTTTATAAGCAATTTACAATCTTCGGATGTATTTAATTTTTTAATCCTTATTTTGTTTTATTATTTATTTTTTTTTTTTTTTTTTTTTTTGTTTGTGTGTGTGTGTGTGTGTGTGTGTGTAGTGAAATGCCAAAGATTTTCGAAAAGATGCTTATTTTGTAATTAAGATATTTATGTTTTACCTTAGTTCTTAAAATTTGTTTCTATTCCATCAACTTATCAGTTCTTCAGTATTCTTCTTCCTGCGTTAACGTGCAATACTGAATGGTGCTGATGTGTGAATAATGCGCGACTCATTTCGCAAATAAATATTAATCAATGTGCACTTCAAAAATAGGAAGACTGATACGGTTTGTAGCACTTTACAGCTAAGTTCTTTTGCAAGTTGGCGATATTTTCAATCAAGGAAGTTATTTTACGGAGTGTGCTAAGGCTAGGCCTTTAACTTCACATCATCAAAGATAAAAATAATTACGTCAAAAGTGGGGTTCATCTAATAAAAGAAAATTTTGAAGCCTAAATCATAAAAATAAAAGCTTTTCAGATAATGCCTAAATCATATTTTTTATGCCTAATCATATTTCATAAAATTTTGAAGCCTAAATCATAAAAATAAAAGCTTTTCAAATAATGCTTCCGCATGATAAAAAGGTAAAAACTCATAGAAGGTATTTTGAATTAATTTATTTGTCTAAAAGGGGCCAGATTTCAATTTTGATAGGGCAGTCATTATTCATAAAATTTTGAAAACAATAATAAAAGGTACAATACATTTCCTTGATTCTTGATATCAACAGTAAAATAAAATCCTCAGAACAAGCATTCTGGATGGAAGGAGCTAGCGCGGGTTCAGTGAACTCGCACTCACTCGGAGTAGCTGGCGAACTGAGAGAGGTTCTAGGAGCAGATCAGAGTATACAGCTGATGGAGGAGAGGAAATTTTGGTCGCTATTCTGTGCGACGTTTAAAGGCCAGATAAGAGCGCGTCTTGGGGGGTTCGAAAGCAACCCGTTTAGCCGGTGAAAAGGAGCTCATAAGAAGCGATTAAGAAATTAAATGCAGTCGCGTGCTGCTGCGGAGATAAGTTGTCCCTTGTTAAAGCGCCGTTAAAAGACTCTTCTTAAAGAGTTAAAGAACAGGGCTCCTCCGGTCAATGCCCTTACACATTGTTAAAGCGGGGGCGGTTGAGGTTTAGGAACGTGAAGTAAGCATCCACTTGGGTGTCTGTGTGCACATACGGCACCGTTTAAAAGACCGTTGAGCATATTCAGGTTGTAAGATAGCTCTGGGTCGCTTTTTTGAAGAGGCAACCGCAGAATCGTATACCGGCAGGGTATGTGATACTGGATTTCCAACAAGATGGCTGTTTTTTAATTTTTTTTTCCCGAAAGTCGCTGTATAAAGCGATTAATGGGCATAATTTTGAGGTCTTTATGAATGTCATTTTTCCTTATGAACCATTGAGCGCTTAATATCTGCCGTAAAAAATTTTGATTGAAAACTTTGAACGTGTTTACGGTTAATCAGAGCAGTTGAGCCCCAGATGGGACTTGCGAATAGACCTTATCATAGATTTGTAAAGCAAGATCTTGTTGTCATGTGGCAGGTTGCTACTTTTAGCGGAAAAGGGGGGCAGGTTGGCTTTGACAGCTTTCGCATTCGCAGTGATTTTTTGAATGTGAAGTTGCCATGTTAATTTTGAGTCTAGTAAAACACCAAGATATTTGTAAGCAGTAACCCAGGGAATAGGTGCACCGAAGAAAATTAGATTATCTAAACGAAGGATGTTTCTTCGTATGAATAAAGTGGAAGCATATTTAGGGACATTAATTTTGATTTTATACAGTCCGAGCCAGAGTTCTAAGGCTGAAAGGTAACTCTGTAATGTAGAGATTACCGTGGTGATGTTGGTATGTTGAGTTAGGATGGCCGTATCGTCTGCATATAAAGCTAAATCGATACTAGGTGCCTTAGGCACGGCGTTGATATAGATATTGAAGAGCAGAGGTGAGACAAGACTGCCCTGAGGACATCCAGCATGGATCGGGCGGGGAGAGGAGAGTTCGTGGTTAACTCGTACGCGGAAGCTTCGTCCGGCTAAGTACGAGCTAATAATTTTAATGATGTGAGCCGGAAACCCAAGTCGCATGAGCTTGTAAATAAGTCCGTCATGCCAAACCCTGTCAAAGGCTTTAGCTATGTCAAGATAGACAATTCCAGTTTTCTCTCGCTTACGAAAGCCTTCGTGAATGAATTCTCCTACACGTAGTAACTGGTGTACCGTGGAGTGTTTAGGTCTGAAACCGAATTGTTCCGGGATGATTAATTTTCGATCTCGACAGAATTCATTCAGGCAATTAAGTAAGACTATTCATATACTTTTGAGAGTGAAGAAAGCAGACTACTTGGTCTGTAGTTGACGGTTAAATTTAAATGTTGTCCCGGTTTTGGAATGGGGACGACCGCTGCAATTTTCCAACGGTCGGGGAAGTAGCTTCTCCTTAGCATAAAATTAACAAAGACCGTAGTCCAAACAATAAACATAACAGGGAAATTTTTAATTATGCGATTAGAGATAGAATCTGTGCCTGGAGCCTTGTTAGGTTTCAGTCTATTGCTGTATTCCATCACCTCTTTAGGATCAGTGGGCCTGAGTTCAGGCATGATTAGGTTGTGTTAAAATCTCTTCAACACCTGAATGTATGCACCCTTGAGTAACCGGGCGGTTACAGTAGTCGTCGTTATTAGGAGTGAATTGAGTGGCAAGGCTGTCAGCTAAGAATTCAGCCTTTTCAGTGTCTGTGTAAGTCATCTGTGCATCATCGGTCGTTTGCAGGGGCGGAATGTGTCTGGATTGTTTTTGTATTCCAGCGGCTGCCTGCTAAATCGAATTATCTTCAGTCGTTAAGGACTCAATGTAGTGTTTCTACTCCGTCTGTTTGAAAAGACGGGTTTCAGTCCTTATCTCATTCTGTATTTTGCGAAATTGGGCGCAGATACTGGGATCGCGCGACCTTTGCCAAAGTTTTCGCAAAACGTTTCGCTGCTTAATTTTGGATTTAGTCTCTGGGAATCTGACACACGGATAGAAAATTGGTTTTGAAGCCGCAGTTCTCGCTCCTTTAAGAAGGGATTCCAAATTTAGTAAACACCTGTCAAAAACCGAATTGCTGGAAATTTTGATAAGGGGCAGCAGTACGTTCCAAGATAAATCTAAAGTTGTCCCAATTTGTAGAGACTTGCTCCTGTAATTTTGAGTAACGATTTTGGATAAATCTAGGGTGATCAAAACTGGATAGTGAGTCAAGGTCTTGAATCACTTTTATTTCGTGCCTAAAATTGACATTATAAAAGGCAGCCAGATCAAGAACTACAGGGGACCCTCTAACAGGGTAGTAAGTCGGGAGGGTAGGAGCTATGATCTGTACATGGTTACTCTGGCACAATGAATATAGACTAATGCCATACCTGTTCCTGTTAGGGCAAAACCAAGCGGTATGACGTGAATTTAGGTCACCAGCAATAATTAGGTGATTTGATAATGATAAAAGTTTATCAAAATCACTGACAGGAAAAGTAACCTCTTCCACGTGCAGTTGATGAAAGTGGAGGCAGGTACGCCGAGATGACAGTTAGTGAGGGAGAAGTTTGGAGGAAAATTTTAATAATTGTCGCTTCCAAAATACTCATATCAAGGGGTATTGTCGTGTGATGCTTAATCGAACGCTTCACGTAGGTACAGGTGCCACCACTTGCACGCCTGGCTAATGACACCCTGTCAGTCGAGTACAGTCGGTCACAAAAGTATTCGAACACCGGTACCCTATCAGAAAATGACAAGATGGCGTTTTTTTTCTCTTTCTCTCTGTGTGTCGTGTTATTCCATCCTAGGTTTTCTTCTCCCCCCATCTTGGAAAAAACTGGAAAAAATTGGTTACGATCTCTTTTTGAATGGGGAGATGCCATTTTGAGAAAAAGCTGACGACCCTATCTTGGAGAATGAACATGACCGCTCTACACACCCTTTCTTCTCTCTCTCTCTCTCTTTGAATTGGGAAGCCATTTTGGGAAAAAGCAGACGATCCTATCTTGGAGAATGGAAATGAACGCCTCTCCCTCTCTCTTTGAAATGGAAAGCCATTTTGGGACCCTCTATTCTTGGGGAGGGAGAAAACTGAAGTCTGCACTTCGCTGTCTCTGAAAAGCGGACCCTCTTCTTCTGATCTTGAAGAACTGGAAATGAACGCTCTACACGATCTCTCTTTGAATTCAAAAGGTATTTTGGGACCTTCTAATGTTGGAAAACTGAAATGAACGCTCTACGCATTTTCTCTCTCTCTCTCTTTGAGATGAGTAGCCATTTTGGAGGATTCTCCACCACCATCCTAACCTTGGAAAACTGAAATGAACGCTCTACACCTTCTCTCTCTCTCTCTGAAATGGGTAGCCATTTGAAAACTCCCTAACTTTGGAAAAAAACAGAAATGAACGCTCTACACCATCTCTCTTTGAAAATGGGGGGGGGTGTCATTTTGAGACCTCCCTCCCCTAAACTTGGAAAAAAAAAAACTGAAATGAACGCTCTACACTTTCTCTCTTTGGACATGGGTAGCCCTTTGGGGACCCTCTCCTCTTGGTATATAAAAAAAAAGAACTGAAGTGAAGGCTCTACACAATCTCTCTTGGAATGGGATCCATATTTCGGGAAACGTGGATCACCTCATGCTGGAAAACTGAAGTGAACCACCAAGATTGGACTCTATATAATATTTTTTTAAATTGACATCATGACCCTCCTCCAATTTGTTATTAAAAAAATTGTTTTTTTTTGTTTTGGTTTTTATCCCATTTCCGATGTGATTTCAGAAATGCAATTCCATAACAGTTCAATTTCATTCGAGGTTAAATGATCTAAACAGTCTTTGACCCACCCATCCGTATGATTATTTTCTTCTCCTTCCTGTTGCACCAAATTTTGTAAGTCCATATAATCATTCCATACGGGAAGGGCTGGATCCTTCACAAGGCTGTCTTGAAACACTTGGAGTCTCTTTGGGATGAGTGGAGGGATCTAGGATGTCTGGACCCGGCTGCGATTCTACCTCCATGATTTCTGGACCCGTTGGAACTTGTGTGAACCCGGCTGTGATTCTGCCTCCATGATTTCTGGACCTGTTGGAACTTGTGGACCCGGCTGACATTCTACCTCTACGATGTCGGGACTTTTTGAAGCTTGTGGACCCGTCTGACATTCTACCTCTTACGATGTCGGGACAGGTTGGAGGAGAAGAAGAAGAAGAAGAAGAGGATACTGGAAGAGGTTCTGTCTGTGAGGAGTCCGAAAGAGGTTG